TACTTCTACGCCTCTTGTCTCGCCTACACCAAGGGCTTGGCTACGTGGGTGGGCATTTGGGACATCGACGAGTTCCTGGTACCACGTGACGAGGGCGCAAGCACGATTGTGCAATCGCTTGACACCGTGTTAACAAGGGCTGGGAAAACAGCGAAGGACGTCTGTTTCATGTCTTTAACGTCATTTGGCTTCATGGAGGTCAAGGAGCTCAGGACAATCGGCAACCGGACATGGGCGGGACAGATGTTTGGGCACTGGCGGCAAGCAAAAAATGACGACCATTGGACCAAGTCGATCATGTCCAACCGAAATGCCTACTTCGCTGGCTTCCACTACCCGGGAGCTTGCAGGGACGTAGGGGGTAGACGATGGGGCGAGAATCCGCACGCAAACCTGTGGCGTATCAATCCAAGCGTACTCGCCATGCATCACTACCGAGGGAAGGTATCGTCGGTGAAAAACCCGAAGTCCAACGTCGCAGAAGACGACGAGTACGGCATGCGTCTTTTTCCCGCGGTCTTGGACGGCCTACGGTCAAGGAAGGCAGACGAGATCGTGGAGAGGGAATGCGGCTTCCGTCCGTCCATGGCTGTCGAGTATGTAGAGGGTCCTGAGGAGGAGGGACAGGTAGCCGTTGTGGGAGTGCCAGTGAAGGGAGATAAGAAGGAGCGACGTTTGACAGAGTCTTAAGCATAGATGTGGGGAAAAGAAGCAAGAATTGAGATATGCGTCGAAAGGCATGTCTCCTCTGCATTGTAGCATGGCTGTGCGACAGGCAAGAGATGCATACGTGTACAGGCGTGCTAGTCAGGGGCTTGACAGGGGTTTGTGGTACACAACAGGAACACGAATATGCTGTGCGGTGCCAAGCCTGCGCATGAATGTCTGATGTTACTTCGGCATACTTGTCCTTACTTATGTAGGTTTGTTGCCATGTGTATCCCGTGGTTCGCTGATCAGTTGCAGATCGAGTGTTCATCTGCTAAAATAATGACACATCTACCAGCGCCTTTCCGAGGCAGCGACACGCATTTAATAAATGGAACAGTGAAGCAGCCTTTGCCCCCTCGCTCCTGTCTATGACTGCATGGCATGAAATGGAAAGCATGAGTCAATCTTTTAACATGAAACCGGCGGGCTGGCGGGGACGCTCCCCATATTTCTCCCGCTACACCATCGCTCCCTCCTTCCCTCCCTCCCTTCCTCCCTCCCTTCACCTCCGCGTAGCCAGGTGTCTGCGCGCATCCCGAACACATCGGTGCAAAGTATAATTTTGTATCCAACAGCCCCGCCCGGGGAAGGCATGTATTTGCAAACGTGTGTGGACGGTACAGGCCCCTCCATTGTTCCCTCCTTTCCCGCCTTGGTCACAATGCGCAACGTCGCATCCGTGGCGGAAGAGCCGCTGCTCAAAGCAGTCGCGATGTCACCCTTAGAAGATGGCATTGTGCCTATTGCGCGGAGGGGAAGATAGCGAGTCACACATCTATGGCAGTATCGGCCATCATCATAAGCAAATAAGGTTTCAAACGCAACGTAGATTTCAAATGCACACAGTTGTCGTTCAAAGCCGCTTGAAAATTTTGTGCGCGGGTTGGCTTTACGCGTCGATGCGCCTTTAAGATACAAGGACGATGCGAGAAGGAGAAATACATGCCAGCATGGAGGCAGAAAACAACTTTAAGACATCCAAGAAGATGGCAACTTTGGCTGCTCAAACGTCTAAGAAGAAGGATGTCAGCACTAGGCGACCCGGATGTGGGGCGTCTAAAAGCCAATGGCAATACCGGCGACCGAAGGGAAGGGGGGCGGGAAATGAGAAGGATGGTTGGAGGAGGGCAGGGAGGAAGAGGAGAGGATGGTGGGAGGAAGGAGGAAAAAGTCGGAGGTCGTCTCTGGGAGGATAAATGCATGAGGGTTGCTGGGATCGGTTGTATTCATTGATAGGAAAGGGCCACGAGGATAGGCGATAGAAGAGGGGGAAGGTGTAGAGGAGGGAGGAGGTGATACAGGAGAGGGGAGGATCCGTGGGTACAAGAC